TATTGCAGTTAAGAGGCTTTTGGCAGCCCTCTACTCTTACATCGTACTAAAACATAGTTAAACACTCACAGCATTCTTCAAATTTGATTGTCGGATCGATCTAAATAGATTGTAAACACTTGCTCTTAAATTTGTGAAGAACAGTTCTCCATTATGCGTCATTTAATTGTAGCGCTAACATTTCGCCACGCGGCGGTTACGAAAGCAAACATAGCTTCCCTTGCTCAATCAACCGAGCAATCAGACTCTTAGAAGTGTGTAATCAAAAATGATAAGGTATTCCAGCATAAACTGTCAAATTCCAAAGTGTCTTTACAGTAGAGAAAGATGTAGTACACGAACCCAAAATTTCCTGTCCGTTTTCCATATTATGCTTTTTTACACCACCTCAATTGCACGCAACTGGCTAAGATCACTTCTATTAAGCTTTTCAGGTTTCAACCTAAAATATGAAAAAACCGATTGTATTTGTTAATGATGGTGATTTATTCAAATTTAATCTAATTCATTCTCTCTTACTTTGCAGAACTGAAATTTCCTGTGCTTTGCACCGATGATTCCAGTAAAGACACTCTTCAGCAAAGACACCCTTACTCTGAGGTCATGTTAAGTGATCTTTCAGAGACGAAATGAATGTAATTACTTCTTATTCTCTTCAAAATATTGTTCGTTCAATAATGCTCTCTTAATACAGTGTATCCATGGATCAGTCATTCAACTGACAATGATCAGAAGCTGACTGTTTGGAAGAAATGTACAGATGCCCGTTTCATGAGCCGTGAGGACTGTTGTTATAATGATCCAGACATCCAAATAAAATGATCAAATCGAATCGTATGTCCGTTAGATCGACAATTGTTCGATCTTTCATCGATATAAGCCCTAGGTATATAGAATTGTGCAATTTTGAAAACGTCGGATAGACTTAGAGATTGGCCTTCTTTAGATAAGATATATCGAGAATGATGGAACAGCCTAAGATCAATGTTCACGGAAACTTTGTCAATTATTTTAAAAGATTTCGCATCTATTGTCAACCCAAAATAGAACGGCATAACTGATAATCGACTTCGATAATAATTTACATCATGATTATGTGTAAATACTCCTTTCTTTCAGATCAAAATGCTGCCGATTAAGTTGTCCTCTAGAATTCCAAAGAACTAAAAAGAATTAAATACCTAGCGTTTATTACCTTCAAATGCTTGGCGAGATACTGAAAATTGATCAGTTTTCCTTATCACATTTCGATTCTCCAACACTTGCCAATGATTTCCACCGCATGGACTGACAAGAATTCGCAGGATTCTCATTGCTTCTTCACATTGATGGAAAGTTCTTTCTTCTTCTGGCACGTCAACCCTTTTTTCATATCAATCGGTCAAAATTCAGGTTTATCATTTCAGCATTCAGCGATTCTATCGGACTCGAAATAACGTGGCGAGTACAGAAAGCGTGGGGCAGTAAATTTTAACAAGATGACGTGGCAGTGCAGCCGGAATTAAACAGACCAAACAAAGTTTATTTTGAAAATACTGAATTATCTTTATTTTCTGTGGGTATCCAAAAATATATGGTTACAAAATATGTTTCAAAGTCTCGTTTTCTTACATTATCATAAATGCACACTGTAATGCACAATGTAATGTCCGAAAATTAATAACTGTTCCTTTCCTAAGTACTGCGTCGCTTTGGCTCAATAACACATTGCATTGAGTGTCTACTTATACATGTTTCAGAGAGATTGTTCCTAAAAAAATGGCCATTCATCTTATTTGAATCACTTTTCATGTAGGTGTATCAGGGTTTTTGAATTTTAATAACAAAAAGAACGTATGTAATTAAAATGTCTTCACGTATTGTTCTTTCAGGATAACCAGTATTGGACAGTACAAAAAGACATGAATGACAGAGGTTGTGAGCCGGATGTAGCTGAGAGAATTTAAGACTATTGTTTGTTTATTTGTTCTGTATATGGCACTGAACTCTAACTATCTGGATGAAGTGAGAATAAGCTATTTAAAAGAAGAATGTCGACAAAGAAGCAGTGAGATGCTAGTGTTATGTTTCTATTTCAGTTCAGAGAAACATTTCCCTGCTTGACTAAGCTCTCTTCTCAGTCCATTTTAACTCAAAGTTTTTACACGTTTGTAATTTTAATGGCATGGCTTCATTATACTTCGGTGCAGAAAACCTTAGACCAGAAAATATACTCCCCACGAGATTGTTAAAGTAAATGTGGTTTCTCACACATATGCATGCAACACTTAGAGGACTAAAATATTCGGTGTCGCCACTGGTCTGATATTGGTTAGTGATTGATGCATGGTCAGTGGGTTGATAATTCTGATCTATAATTCACTGTACTTTGGCTTGCATTCTTACACACTCGATACCTTACTTAAATTTGACTATATATGCAATGGCTGTCTACGTCTGTGAATTAGTTTGCCAAATACCATTTCAACATAGGGTTGCTGCGTATAAATTGACAATTCGGGAAATAACTCTACTTCTTAAATAAGAAACAATAAGAAATAAGAAAGAGAATCAGAGCCTTCTCTCTGATTCCTAAACTGTCTCAAGACATACTTGACTGTTTCAGAGACCCCTGCTTTAGGTTTCAAATTCACCAAACATCACAATTCATCATAAGTTAAACTGCCCAGTTTTATATCAGAATTTGCTTACCATCGATCAAAATGATAATGTAATATTCAAGGCACATTATCCTTAACGAGGGTCTGAATGGGGGTACTTCGATAACACTAAGCACTTATTTTTTTGACTGTATAACATTAAACAGTTAATTTTCAGCCATTTTAACACTAACATTAAAAAATTCGTTGTAACATTATTTTTTTCCCATAAACAAACAAACCACACCCTAAAAAGGGAAATATCGATGTTGGGCCTATGTTTATTGTCTCAAAGAGGTTTTTTTGGCCATTTTCCAACAATTCGGGATTATTTCAAGACTTCCAAAGAGTGAGGAAGACATCCGAAAGCTGCCGAAGATTTCCGAAAGCTGTCGAAAATGTCTGAAGGCTGCCGAAGATGTCTGAAGGCTGCCAAAGATGTCCGAACACTGCTGAAGATGTCCAAAGACTGCCGAAGATGTCCACTGAGACTGCCAAAGATGTCCACAGACTTATGACCAACGATATTTAAAGACTACCGCAGATTTGGCTTGTATAACTCGTAACAATTCTATTCTTAAAGCGCTTTTACAGCGAGGATTCACCAACCGTTACCACTTAGAGAGAATATATTAGTAACAAATCAGATTACGATATTCAAATCAAACAGCCAATGGGATAGAATATCGAAATAAACAGTAAAATTAAGCAAATTTACGGACTGCCATCCGTTGTATGAATACCTCAGAATGATTGTTTGGCTTTGTGAGATGGTCCCAGTTGGTGTATCTGCACTGTAAACAAAACGAGATAAATACGAAAATTACAAGGAAAATGAGAGTTAACATATATGAGTGTTTAAATTTGACTAGTAATGAATGCAATAACAGAATATTCTTTTACCAATAAGGTCGGCTACAGTGCTCACAATGTATAATGGTCAACAAAAATGACAGACATGTCACTCCATCCTGGCCAAAAACATTTGATTATATTACATACCTGAATAGTCGCGATTGTCCCACCTGTTTCTAGAGATCAAGGCGGAAAGGAGCGCGGGTGGTGCGACCAAATCTGCTGAACGTTATGTCTGTATCATTATCCGCATCGCTCTACGAGTCGGTGTCGAATTCATCCTGTTTCTCGGGGAGGTCTGTCACGTCACCAACTTCGACAACTCCGAGCATGCTTTCGTCAACAAAGGTGATTCTCGGTACTTCGTTTGTAGGTCGTGGAATATTTGTATCCTGGTCGACTCGTTCTTCATTGTCTGTCCCTAGATCACCTTAAACATCCTCTTGGAATGTTACTCTAGTACACGATGGCGTACTGGAATATACAGCTGACGGCAGGGCTCCCGCTTTGTCTTTTGTTGATTCGCTTCTTACCGTCCTTGACAGGTCGATACCTATCAACCAATTCCTTCATGGCTGCCTCAATGTTGGGGTCAACGTTATCAGCTGGAGGAAGTTTCATCAAATCTACGTCCCGTAACTCCACACTGGATTTAGGCATTGGATAATAAGACTTCTCAAGTGTGAAGTATTTCGCACCCCACTTCGTTGTTCTCTTTTAAGATTCCTTTGAAATTGTTCCAAAGTCTTGAGCATACTGAAGAGCGGTGAAAGTTTCGTTTTGAAGTTGGAGACTGCATGAAGGTTCTCCACCTGAGTTGTTAGCAGCGTACGCAGGTCAATGTCACCAAGATAGTCCTCGTTTACATTCTTAACGTTATCTCGTAGCTGTTCCATACCTTTTTCGAGAAGCACCAATGACTCCTGTGTTTTGCTGGAAACAGTTCCTTCAGGGCCATTTATTGTTGCCGTTTCTTTCATTTTATAGTGCTGCCTTACTTCAGCGACTGCGTTTTTAATATAAGCATTTACAGGTGAAACATTGCACACAGCATCTTGAAGAGATAATTGGACCGCGTCGATCGTATGTGCACCAATTCCAAAACTATCATAGAGACATTCGAGGTTGCGAAGAAAGGACACTATGACACTACTACAAGGAACAGATTGCATGAAATTGTGTAAATGAGCAGCTTTCTTCAGTTCCATCAACGGTTCCTTCATGGCCAGTACCCAACAAGGTCTCGACCTTTTGATCTTTGTTGTCGGTGAAAACAATGTTGCCCTCATAACCATACAGCCTCCTGATTTCCTTACAAGAATCTGAAGAATTCCGCAAGAGTCGCTCAACATTGACAGAATCGAGGTTACAACCATATAACCCTCCAGCTGCGCTAGTTGCAGCCAAGTATGCTGCTTGCCGCAGAACATAAAGAGATTCAACACTTGTCACGTCATTGGAGTAGTTTATCGGTCTCAGCCTACTACCGATGATAGCCACTCCATTTTACTCTAACTCCAGCTGCATTATGCTTCTCTGCTCATCATCTGCACACAAGAGGATATCCTTACTTGCCGCACAGATGGAAGTTGATTTATTTAAAGGTGGGTTAATCTGGACAATTTGTTTATTTAGTTCTCGACTTGCGCAGCTAAAGATCTCAGATGCGTCGTCAACCGCTTCTGTAGAACTGGACCTGTACCCTCAAGTGAAAATCTGAAACGACTAAGCTGCGAGAGCAAATGAGCTCGCGATTTTAGGCGTCCGGGTTTGAAAAGTACTTCGCCTTTCAATTCAATGAAACGGATTGCTGATGAGCCTCTCTCTGCAACGAAGACTACGCCATTGGTAAAGCATAGGTCCCCCGCATCCTTGAATACTTCCCTCCGAACATTTACATCGACTGGTCGGTGTAAAAGCAGTTCTACGAGACCATCGAAGGTCGAAATCGTAGTCTAACGCCAGTACTTTAACTTGGGGCCCAATTTCAGGTGCAATTGGTCTTTTGCAAACACTACTTTGGTTGGATTTCCAGAAGCGATACTTTTCAGGAACTATTGTGTGGATTACCAAATGTATCCCCTTAAGAACATCCAGTACTGAGTGTCTAGTAGGGCGCATTATCGATTCTAAGGACAAGAGCATTTCAGCTTTGGCTCACTGTTCGCGAGTGATTTTCTTGATTTTCTTGCAGAATTTAAAAGAGCAGATAAAATTTGAAAATCCTTAAAAAAAAACTTTGGGGTCTCCTTTCAAACACTAAACAGTGTTTTTTTCAAGAACAGTAAACATTAAAAAAATGGCCAATTTAACAGTAAACACTAAAAAATATGGACAAATAACACTAAACACTAAACCCCATTCAGACTCTCCTTAACGCCTGCTGGTGATTTGGTTTCCTCTCACGGTTTGATTTTACGAGGAACTGCCTGCAATTTTGAAAGTTCAAGAGTTACATCCAACTTGGATTAAAGAGAAAAACGCTATAAAGTTTGTTGTGTTCCACTGATGACGCCGACAAGAGTAGAGAATGGAAATTTAATTAGTGTTCTTTTGTTATGATTACACGGGATCAATGTTTGTTTGGATCACTTACGGTTTCTGGGAAACCACTCAACTTTTAATCCTCACGATTTAAGAGCCACTCGATAAACGATTTCCCAACAAGACTCGTTGGATCAATGCTGCCATTTGGGCACGGCACACGAAATCGAGTACAACGAGGACGTTGAAAAGAACGAGCCCGTTATACACAAGATCGAGTATAACGAGGACGTTAAAAAGAACGTCCTCGTTTATTCGATTTCAACGTGCAGTGAGCTCGATGCCAACGATCTTTCGTAACATCGTGTCCGTTGTCTAACGTGCTCGATTTCAGCTTTTCCAGCATTGTTGATCAGATCGTTTACGATGCGAGCCAAACGTTGACGATGTAATCGTCGACCGATGATGTCTACATTGAATCATAACAAAGGAGCACAAGTACAAACGTGATTCTACGAAATTTCAGTAAATATTTCACTTGATTTTCTTATCGTAGTATCTTTTGATAACACAAAGAAAAGTAGAAAATAGAGCGAGTAGAGCGAGTAGAGCGTAGGGAAGGAAGTATGCAGCTAACAGTATTTGATGATGGATGTTCCGAGTGATTATTTGGGAAATAAAGAGAGAGGCACAAAGAATGATTCTTCAAAGACCAGTAGTTTATTATACATTCATGGGTGCTTCCTTAGGTAAATTCACATTAGCACGTTTCCTTGATTCTCGTTGCTATATAAAAACATTAACACATGATATTTCAAAGTTGGTTTTATTTAATTGTTTTCCAGCCTCAGGGGAACTTGTTTGTCTTGTCCCGCAATATCCCTAAATATTGTGCTTGGCAGGACTAAAATTGAAACATTCTCTCTGCTAAACATCCGGACCACAACACCAGCGTCTCTTTCTTGGGTAGCGATTATGTTCTGGTTGGAAAAATAAAGACAAAACATTACATACTCCCAGGATTGGATACGGCCAAAAACTAACGAGAAATTGCAACTGAAGGTCAGTGCGTCTTATTGAAAACAACATGCAACAATCATAACAAAAAAACATCCATGGGGCTCGTAGCGCCATAACCGCAACTTGTCACGGTTAAAAGCTTCAGTAAGTCTCGGCAATCATTACGATCGCAATAGACCCACGGATTCCTAGCTTAAGGTTTAAGCGGATAAAACGTGTCAGTTTAAGAACTGAACAGTCGAGTAGCGTCAACATATCAGGGGAGGAAATTCATGTAATAAAGCAATCAGTAGGCATCAGAGTAGGATCAACGAAAATTACAGATTCGAGCTGGGTTTGACCAACTTCACGGAGATAAGGTGTTGTTCTTGTCTCTGAAAGAAAGTACTGTTCAGTGAGAATCAGATTGTTACAAGTAGGTCGCTTAATTAATTTTCTTGACAAATTTTTAAGCTTCGCAAATGCTGGAAACTTGAAGCAGCCACCTCAATATGACTTCAGTACGAATACTCCAATTTAGCCTTCGTCTGGTCCTATTTTATCCAAAACTTCGTTTAGAGTTATATCACGAATTAAAAAAAAAAACAGAAAAAAAAAGAAACTTTTGCCATAGATAACTCGCCTTAAACTTAAATCTTACTCTGATACAGCTGTTTACTGTTACATGCAAAATACGTAATACTCTGATAATAAATTAGTCTTAATTAAATACCTGCGGAAAAGAACGATTTTACTCGGAAAAAGCGCATCCATCTGCTTCTACTTCTGCTGCTGCAACATGCCCAGTTGCTGATGGTATTACTGCTATTGGCGATTTAAGTACCTGTCAGTAAAATAAGTTTGTATCAATGTAGAGCTTTACACTCAACAATCAGGAAAACAAATGTCGGCCAATCTTTCTCAAACAAAATGAATCAGGTATTCTTATTTTGTGGATTTAAGCCTGTGGGAGAAAAGTTGGATGGTAAAGTCACGGCATAGACATAACAGAGTGTGGGTGTTAAATAATAATAATAATAATAATAATAATAATAATAATAATAATAATAATAATAATAATAATAATAACTGTTATACCTTTTTCTGTGCATCAGCTGTTTCCTGTAACAAAATAATACGATATATTAAAGTTCACACGGCAACCAGGTGGACAATCAGACATAGTTTGATGCTACTCTGGTTTGCAGATTTATAAATGTAATCGAATAAGTTACAATTCATAGAGCCAGCGTTTCGACACTCCTGTCTAGTGCCTTCATCAGGGGTGATCTAAACGCTGCAACAAGAGGTCTATTTATATGATCACTATTTAGCGGTCTTTTTTCTGACGAGGTGTAATTAGGCGTCAGGAAGCAAACCGCCATCGTCACGATTTAAAGGAGCGTGGGCGATGTTAATATGCCAAGCCTCCAAACAAAGGCGCTGGTGGTAACGCCGATAAGTGGTGATAATTTTAGAATTATCCCACCCAATTGTGTGGTTAGTTAGGCATGTGTGCTCCGATAAAGCTGAATTTTCCTTTTGAGGTATGTACCAAACTGACGTTTAAATACATCTAATACATCGAATACATCGGACAGACCAAACGTCAGTTTGGTACACGGTTAAAAGAGCACCAAAAAGCGGTTTTCCTTTGCAAAAAGGAAAATTCAGCTTTATCAGAGCACACATGCCTAACTAACCACACAATTGGGTGGGATAATTCTAAAATTATCACCACTAATCGGCGTTACCACCAGCGCCTTTGTTTGGAGGCTTGGCATATTAACTCCGCCCACGCTCCTTTAAATCGTGACGATGGCGGTTTGCTTCCTGACGCCTATTTACACCTCGTCAGAAAAAAGACCGCTAATTAGTGATCATATAAATAGACCTCTTGTTGCAGCGTTTAGATCACCCCTGATGAAGGCAAAGACAGGAGTGTCGAAACGTTGGGTCTATGAATTGTAACTTATTCGGTTACATTCATTAAATCTGTAAACCAGAGTAGCATCAAACTATTTCAAATAATACGATGTTATTTGTAGGCTTACTTTTGAGCGAATGCACCTTATTCATCTGAATAAATTATTTTTTTGAAACAAACTCAAGTGCATAATAAGAAAATTCATTTAATCCTAGCGTAACGCACAGACATCTTGTAGACTTTTTCAACTAATACTTTACCAATGCTTGAAACGCTGCATCTTGTTGGCGTCGCAGTTCTCTGGTGTCCTCCATTTGTTGCCTGTTGTTTAACAAACTGCCAGTTAAATATTAATGAACACAGTACCACGCAATGCATCAGGTTTTCAAAGCAGCAAAAGACTATATGTCTATTAATTGACTTTGTCATTTGAAAACAACAATTATGACAATATTAATTGTAACTGTCAAATACCATAATGAGAGAACAACCTGCATATCTAGGATTATATAAGAAACAACTTCCATTTACTTTACTGCATAGAAAAGGCTTGACATGTTGTTTTCCTTTGTAACAAATTACATAGAAGAAAGTATAGAATATATGAAGTTTACTGTACGTATACCTTTGTAGAGAGATGGCCTTTTCATGGTGGAGGTTCACTGTGGTGTGTCTGATTACCTCCTCTGCTTTCAATTTATCACCTTGTGATAAGAAAATTAGGCTATTAATGCATCAAGGCTGGTTACTTTCCTCTAACGAAACATGGAGGCATGCACCAACAGCATCATATACCTGACGACCACGCAGCAATGACTTGGCGTTTGGTAACACCAACTTGTTGCAGATCAAGACATGGGCACCACTCAGGGGACGTGGATCTTCACCAACACGTTCAAGCATTTGCGACACACAAGGTGATCTGTTGTGTGCCACAAAGACCAAACAGCTGTCTAACATATTTGTTAGTTGTGTATCCTCGTTAAGTGTCCTTTTGAATAAAAGGAATATCCTTCAATCCGTACTAAGAGACAATACGAGACTAGAGATGTACATATTAATATTTGGAAAATTACTAGACAGTCTAGGGCCCAGCCCTCACTAAAATTTGCGTTTTAAACAGGAAAAAAAAGAAAGAAGCATTTACATCATTCATCTGTGAATAGAAATTTTCACAAGAGGTGGAGTATTTTTCAGACAATTTAAGCTAAAAATAACTATGTTTACTTCTGTACTTCTGGCATGTTCTGTTTAGGGCACTTTTAATAACAATTTTTTACTATGTTTGAAATTTTTTAGCCCACCTGATGACGTTGACACTCTCATCACTCTCATCAAACAAGACCACCCCAATTGGTGTCAGGTCTTGGTGGCTCTGTACAACAGCTTAAACAAATCAAAGAAAGGTGGTTAAAAGGAATGCTGTAAGATAAAAACAACCATGCACAGATCAACACTTTCATAAATTTCTAATTGAAATTTTAAGGCTGCCTAAAAAACTTGCCTGGTCAAATGTATATGGACATGGGGTCCACATTAATCTTCTCTCAAGGAGGAGGTACAGCAGTTGGACCTGCTGTAAAGGTTCTTCAATATCTGAAAACAGTTTTTCAACCTGTCAATCAGGGACCTTTACAAATGAGAACAACCTCTAATCATGATCTATGGTGACATTCAATTATTACTCTGAAGGTGTAATTTAACAGAGTTAGTACTATTATAGAGATAACTTCCTTGCTTGTCTCCATTACTTGACCATTTTTACAAAGTTATTTTTCACTTAATTACTTCAATTTCTTAAATTTTTTAATAAACTAACTTTTGTAGATAGCTGCCTAAATTACGTATGAAGGAAAATGTGATTTCTGACGTTTGAGAGACATGGGAACGAATTAGTCAGAAATTAATATTCTGACGGCACGTTGGAGAGGTTCGCATGGTATCATGGTAGTTTCGGATTATTTAAGCGTTTCGCGGGGAAATTAGGTCATTCTACGTGGGTCAGTCTTAGGTTGGGCCACTTTTTTTTTTTTTACAGTCTTCTTAGTATTTAACCCATTGTTGTCAACGATGTAACAAAAGAAGTACGAGATTTTATCAGCAACTCTTTAGCGGAGAATAATAGAGCATTACTGACACAAATTTCTAAACTAGTGAGCGATTCAGCCGAAAATTTGAAAAGAGCTAACGCCGAAGCTGCAGACGAACAACTGAGACAAGTAAAGAAGTTAAGAAGAGAAGAACCGAAGTCATTTAAACGCAAAGGGAACGAAATTCAGTACAAGTTTAAGTCAAAACTGCAGGATTCCCTGGAGGAAGCGAAGACACACCTTGAAACAAACGCTGTTGAGAAAGCAAAGGAGTCGTTAACAGAAGGTACGTTACTCCTCACAAATAGACAAAAGTTAATTCTATTAGCAGATAAATCTGAATTTGGTTGGAAAACAGTCGAGGAATATTCACAGCACGAGCTGGCAGAAGATGAAGATGATGGAAAGGAGATACGTCGCGCCGAAGAAAGAGCTGAGAAAGCTTTGAAGTCTGCTTCCACTAGAAAGACTGCTAAGCAAGTCTCCTCAGTTTTCCGCTCTTCGAGTTCACGTTTTGCTCCACCGAGCCAAAGAGCTTCCTCTGGGCTCAGTTCCTGGCGTGGCCAGCGTGATCGTTTAAACTTGTTTAATCGCTCCTTGGTTGATCGCCCATCAAGACCTGGAAAAAGTTTCGCTTGTGGCAGATTTGGGCATTGGAGGTCCGAATGCAGTCAGATTGCTCGTTCAGGGGCCGCCAGAGGTAATCTTGATTGTAGATGACTGAAGAATCAATCCCTTGACGAACAAAGTAAGTGTGACATTTCCGTTATAAACCCTTTGTGTGATTCGGAAAATCTTTCCCGTCAAGGTATCGTCCAGGATTCTGAGAACCATGAGGTTGAATCGCCAGGTACTGGCGGCAGCTATGACTCTGTTATCCCACAGGTTTCTGTTAAAGGGAAGCTGTCTAAATCCATTGCGTTTTGGCATTTCATCGGAGCACCAGATTTTATCTTGAGTGTTATCAGAGACGGTTATAAGATTCCATTTATTTCTACGCCGCCACCTCACCATTGTAAGAACAATTTATCCGCCTTAGAAGAACGGGGTTTTGTTACTGAGGCTATTTCGGAACTCTTACGTGACAATCGCGTCGAGGAAATATTCTCTCCTCCGGATATCGTCAATCCGTTGTCTGTTTCTGTTCAAGCTAATGGTAAAAAGAGATTGATCTTGGATTTAAGGCATATCAATTTGCATATATTTAAGCAGAAGTTTAAGTGTGAAGGCCTACATACCATCAAGAGTGCCTTATCCAAAATTTTTTTTTGTATTCTCATTTGATTTGAAAGCGGGTTATCATCATGTAGATATTTTTCCGGACCATCGCAAATATTTGGTTTTCTCGTGGGATTTTAGCACAGGCGTTGACAGATATTTTCAATTTACAGTTTTACCTTTTGAGCTTTCTAGTGCTCCTTTTATTTTCACAAAGCTCCTAAAACCTTTGGAAGCCCACTGGAGGGGACAAGGAATTCCAATTGCTCTATTTTTTGATGACGGCATAGGGGCGGGTTCCTCGTTGAATTCTGCTAAGATTAACAGTTCCATTGTTCGTGCGGATCTTGCACCTTCAATATCTGAAAACAGTTTTTCAACCTGTCAATCAGGGACCTTTACAAATGAGAACAACCTCTAATCATGATCTATGGTGACATTCAATTATTACTCTGAAGGAGTAATTTAACAGAGTTAGTACTATTATAGAGATAACTTCCTTGCTTGTCTCCATTACCTGACCATTTTTACAAAGTTATTTTTCACTTAATTACTTCAATTTTTTAAATTTTTTAATAAACTAACTTTTGTAGATAGCTGCCTAAATTACGTATGAAGGAAATATTTGTTTCCTTTTTCTGACTGGTAGTTGAATTTATGGTTTGAAATTGTTGGTCTCAGTTCCTAGTGGCTCAGTGACCATCTTTTTATTCATGATGTGTAATACTAAATACACTGTCATACATTACAAATTTAAAACAAAAATTGTTTGGAATACTGAGAAATAGTACAAATGAAGAGCCAGGAGTTGCTTGAATTAAACGAACGAGGGAGAAAAGCACTATACTAAAAGAAAATAGTAGTCATGATAATGATAATGATAATGATGATAAGGCAGATGTTATGGGGCAAATGTTCAGAGTTTTGCTCCGAGAAATTGAAGATTTTAAGTTATAATAAGTCCAGAGGGATTTAGTCATAAAGATTAGTTCCTGAATAGACAACTGTTTGTTTTCCAGAGTTACTGCACACTTGAAGTTTACACAAATTTTGTTGGGAAGCATATCTGGTGTTGCATTCAACCTGCATATTGAAAATGGTTTTGGAGGGGATCCACTTAAGCGGGCCTTTGTGCTGTAGATGAAAAGCCTTTAAAGCATTGTGTTGATACACATTTACTGTTCGAATTTCTAGAGTGTTAAGCAGATGAAGGGCGTATCTGTTTGGTTATGAAATTTATCAATAACAGTGAGGTAAAAACTCCCTCACGTTTGTTCTAAAGTGAGCAATCAGTAATTGCTAAGAAGATGCACATTTAAAATGCATCTTCTGCTCTTCTTTATCAACCGGGGTTTAGTTGGCAATGTGGCTGTCACTTAGGATTGAGATCGACAGAGTATTCTAAGGTTATAATCACCATTATTCTCTGGAGGGAAATGGTAGGTAAGTGGGCACAACTCTTGCATCCCCAGCGCCTGGATAAGTCACGTAAAATACCATCTTTCTTTCGTTGTATTGTGAACCTCTCAGTACCTGGCTAGTTAACGGGTTGATAAAGGATTATGTTAAGTGAGAAGACGGTATTAAAAGAAAAATGGCAATTTTGCAAATCCTGAAAAGTTTCCCTCAAAAACTAACAGAACTCCTTATAAAGGTTTTTTGTAAGTAGATAGTGATTGAAATAAAATATTCTGATAGATGTGATCTTTTGGTTAGGTTGAGTGAGGAGTACTGTATGTGGCAGTGGAGGCAGATGGTGCGCCATTTGGCAAGGATGACACAGTCACTGCATACTTAGTTAGCTTTCTCAACCTGCTGAATAGAGTACAAAGTTGTGATGATAATAATTTACTCCTTAGTACCAACTGTGAAGAAGATCATCCACTCATGAAATCTTACTCAAATCACCTGAGGGAAGAAATGGAACAGATTGAAGAGAAGACATTGACCACTGAGACAGGAGAGCAGGTTGTGTTCAAATTTGAACTGATACCATCTGACATGAAATGGATGTCATCCCACTTTTTGCCACTGTTAATCAAACACACAAGGGAGCCATGGTTTGATTGGTGGCCCTGATGGTAGTACACCGAGAGACTGCAGAGAAAGTGGAAAAGTCAAAGGAAAGACTTAAAGATCCCATAGACAAACAAAGAAGTCATATTACAAATTTATTGCTCAAAACAAGTTGAGACAAGAATTTGTTCCTCTGTTGGGGAAGTAGGTTGATTTACTCAAGGTGGAGCCTCTACATAGCACAAACAATGCTTGGCAGAACTGGCTTTCAGCTGCACTCTCTGTTGTAATGCAGTACACAAACCAGAGTCACCTCAAGGCAGGAACAACAGTCTCTGATCTTCCAGACAGTTCCCCTCTGCTGGTAGTTTTGAAGTGCATGAAAGACAAGGTTAAGTATGGGAGATTACAGAAGGCCTTTCTTCGGTGGTTCACCGAGAAGCAAAAGAAAGGTATTACATTCTCATATGGATTCACAACGCTTGAATCAAAGTACTTTTGTTGGCATTTTGCCTTTTTGATATAGGAACTTCTGAAGATCAACTCTCTTTCAAAGGGGTCAGTTGTGAAACTTCACACTGGCATTTGTTGTCGTCGAATTCAGAGATGCAGTTTCTATTTACTCAACAGTCGAGGAAAAAGCTAAAGACCTCATGCAAACACTTATTCAATGCCAACTGTTTGTTGCTTAATGGTGTCACTTCTACTGTGAGGACAGTTGGACACGAAGGTTAACATCTGGACAGGAAGTTTAACATCTGAGGCTTTGCTATGGATTAGGCCTCAGTTCAATGCAGGGTAGAGAGGCAAAGCATGTTAAGCTGGCTTAGTATGTGGAAAACAAATGCAATGCCAAAAAGAGTTTACAGTGGTGGAGAGTGTCAAAACACAAATTTGTCCACATGATGTGTCTGAGAGAAAGGGACCCCAACAGCATTGCTTATTGCATCAAAAAGAGGAATACCAGCGATTATTACATTCCTAGGAGAGTTTGAGATTGTGACCATAGGTTTTGCTATTGTGGACTCTCAAAGTCAACTGTTGATAATGAAGGGTGAGATTTGCTCAAGTTATCTCATGAAGGCCATTAAGCAAAGTGTTGCTGGTGGAAAAATTAGTCCAGAACCCAAATAATTTCTTTAGAATTAGATGTAGGTTATACAACCTTTCTTCCATTATGGTGCAGTATCTAAACAAAGTGTCACTTAATTTCCACCAACATTACATTAAACTTGATTACACAATTATTTCTACACGTACATGTATGATCCAGAGAGAGACTTTGTAGCTTATTTCCATATTCAACACAGCCCAAGGTAATATACAAAAAAAAAACATCTTAAAAAATATATCGGTCAAGTCAAGTTTGTCCACATATGATTAAAACCAATGGAACTAATTAAACATACGGCTTTGCATCTGTTTGTTCAGTGCTACAAGATGCTGCGCACATTCCAGTATCCTTATAATAAATGAAATTGAATGATGAGAACTTCACCACCTAACTGTGCGCCATCAGAGGAGGAAACTTCAGAGGATACCCTCCTTCACTGCAGTTAAAGTCGTCCTTCAATAAGAATTTTGCCATACATATTGTGCGGCTTTTCTTTTTACCACAGGAATTAGATGGATCAAATGTAAGTAGGGTAGAGAAGAAACTTACCTTAGATCCAGTTAAATAAAAAAGATCAAACTGATTATATTCAAATTCTTCCGCTGATGTTGACACAACAGAAACTGCTGTGGATTGCTCTAAAGCTATTGACAGTTATCTCTGTAACAGAAGGATGGCTGAACAGGCATGCACTAATAGTATCTAATAAAACTCTGTTTGTTTTGTTTCAAAACTTTTATAGCTAACTTCTTATTGACTTTGATTTTCTATTTTCAAATAAACAATGTTATACTGTGAATAAAATATTTGGGTTGTTGCCAGACTTGAAATTTGTGAGTGTGTTTTGAATGACCTTCAAATTAATGACAGATGCTACCATAACACGATAATGAACCCTAAGTCTGTTGAAGCATTTTTGGTTTTCAAATGAATTTTCATCTTTGTCATGGCTAGTTCCTACAACTTGACATGTTCTGCATACAATCAAATCATCATGAGTGATTTGAAATGAAACTGTTTACATTGCGATACATACACACTGATCAGAGCACTAGATCAGAGGTTAACTTGAGTGTTTCCTACTTTAAAAAGGTCAAACTGCTTGAAATTGGAAACCTCAATTCTCAAGCCATTTAGGGCAAAATTTCTGACTGGTTTTACCGGTAGAATACCAGCAGCGGGCTCACCCACATACACATGCTTATATGGCGAAGATGCACCAGTATTTGGAGTCAACGACGATTTGCCGTTACAGACTTTATTGATAAAATAATTAGTTGTCAGTGGCCAGTTGATAATACAGAATTACATAAACTAGTGAACAGGCAAATTCACAGGCATTGTCACACTTGTAGAAAAAAGTCAAAGAATGAATGTCGATTTAACTATCCACAACCTCCTATGAGAGCAACTGAAATTCTTTACCCTTTAGAAGCAGACATGCCACAAAATAAAATAAAACAGCACAAAGACACTTGGAAAATAATCAACAAGCAATTAAATGATATGAAAGAAGGCGAACCTATAACATTTGAACAACTACTTGTCAAATTAAAAGTTACTGAAATATCCAGTTATCTGGATATCCAGTTTGTACTTGATGTGTATGCATGTGCCATGTACATAGTTTCATATATTTCTAAAGCACAAAAAGGAATGAGTGAACTTTTACGACAAGCATGTGCTGAAGCCAGAAAAGGAAATTCTAGCATAAAGCAACAAGTCCGAGACATTGGAAACAAATTTTTAAACAGTGTCGAGATAAGTGCACAAGAAGCTGTTTACAATGTTTTACAGCTTCCTATGAAGAAGTCTTCTCGTCAAGTAATATTCATAAATACCACTCCTCCTAATGAAAGAGTTCAGCTTTTAAAATCAATAAATGACATTGAAGAAATGGATGATGATTGTGAAGATGTATATACCAATGGTCTTT